ACAAGGGGCAACCGCCCCATGGGGACCTGGTTCTGCTACAACCCATGGGCCTTCCAGGGCGGCGTTCCTCCTCCAGGCAGCAGCTGGCAGCAGGGCAACAGCGTGTATATTAGGCAAGTCTATATTTAGTATGATTAGCACCTGCCATGTATTGCATGTAACCTGCCATGTATTGGCTATATATATCAAGGTCACCCCCCACGTTGGGTGTGTGGTGTTTTCCATTCAATCTCTGTTATTCTACAATCTCTATTATTCTACATGGTATCACAGACTGAGATCAATTAGATCCCGGACCTTCTGCTTCCGCCTCCTTCCTCCCCACCTCTTTCCTGGGCGCTCCTCCTCCCTGTGGCGGGATGTCTCCCAACGCCGATGCCTCGGCCACTGCCCCCTTCTGCCGCTGACATTCTTGCTTGCACCATCAACGCCATGCAGCCGCCGTCAAATCCACCCTTTACACCGCCGCGTGAATGTGAAGACTCACATTCCGGTGACCCTGGAGATGAAGAATCCCATCTTCACCAAGTGGGCTTCGTTCTTCAAGGCCTTGTGTGGGAAATTCAGCCTTCGCCCCCACATCGACGGGCCAGCTCCTCTGGCTGATGATCCATCGTGGGGCATTGCCGAGTGCACTGTCCGCGGCTGGATCCTCAACACCGTCGATGACTCGGTTCTTGATCTTACCATCACCGACGAGAACCAGTCCGCCCGCGAGTTGTGGGTGGCGATTGAGGCCCCTTCCGCTCCAACCGCTACGCCGGGCCGTCTTCTCTCGCTTGAGGAGTTTCACTCCTTGAAACAGGTGACTCGACGATTGACAAGTACTGCCAGCGCCTCAAGACCAAGGCCGCCGCTCTTCGGGACATCGGCCACACCATCGAGGACTCCCAACCCGTGCTACACTGCCACTGCCGACGACATCGCCAACTCCCTCGAGCTGCCTTCCTTCTCTGTAGCGTGAAATGCTCTCCCTCAAAGAGTTGCGCCTCCGCCAACGACGAAGAAGACCACGATCGCATCGCCATGGTGGCCGCCTCTGCTCCACTGCACTTCTCCATGGTGCCGCCCTCCTCCTCTGTGCCCATGGCGCTTGCTCCCAAGGGCTCTGGGGGCGGCAAGAAAGGCAAGGCGGCGGCAAGAAAGCAGTATTGGCGTGGCTAAAGGCAACGCAACCGGCCGATAGCAGAGGCGTGCGGCAAGGATAGCAGGGGCAACCGCCCCATGGGGACCTGGTTCTGCTACAACCCATGGGCCTTCCAGGGCGGCGTTCCTCCTCCAGGCAGCAGCTGGCAGCAGGGCAATAGCCCCGGCGGCTGGCCCCTAACGGTGACCAGGGCGGGCGCGGCCAGGGCATCATGGGTGCCAGTCCACAGGCCCACACCATCTTCGCTCCCCCTCCGTCAGCTCCATCCACTCCACTATGGGATCAGGCCAGCCTCATCGCCGCCTTGAACCAGATGGCGCTCAAGAACTCCAGCTGGGTCATGGACTCCGGCGCCACCTCCCACATGCACAACTCGGATGGTATACTCCTCTCCTGTCAACCCTCTTCTATCCCATCCATCACTGTTGGCAGCGGTCATCATCTTCCTGTATCTTGCTCCGGCAGCTCCACATTACCATGCCATGCATCTCCCTTTTCGCTTCGCAATGTTCTAGTTGTCCCCTCTCTAGTGCGCAACTTACTTTCAGTTCGCCAATTCACTCGTGGCAACAACTGCACTATCGAATTTGACGCATTTGGTTTTTCTGTTAAGGACCTGCAGACCAGACGCGTGATTCTTCGCTCCAATAGCTCCGACGGCCTCTACACCGTCCCTGCCACGCCACAAGCCAACCTCGCCACCTCCACCGAACTATGGCATCATCGTCTTGGTCATCCAGGAGCTGCTGCCCTACATTTGCTTAGACAAAATAATTCCATTTCCTGTAATAAATCAGCTCATACTCTATGTCACTCATGTCAACTTGGCAAGCATGTGCGGCTGCCTTTTGGCAATTCCAGTTCAGTTTCCTCTTTACCTTTTGAGCTTATACACTGTGATGTTTGGACATCCCCGGTCGCTAGTATTTCTGGTGCACAGTACTACCTTGTCATCCTCGATGACTTCACCCACTTTTGCTGGACCTTTCCCCTAGTCCACAAGTCCGAGGTAGCTACTCACATCACTCAGTTCTGCGCCTTCGTCCACACACAGTTCAGCCTTCCTGTCAAGGCTGTTCAGGCCGACAATGGCACTGAATTCGTCAACAATGCCCTCGCCACCTTCTTCGCCTCTAACGGCATTCACTTACGCCTCTCCTGCCCTTACACCTCCCCTCAAAACGGCAAGGCTGAACGTATCATCCGTTCTCTGAACAACATATGTCGCACGCTGCTCATCCACGCCCACATGCCACCCAAATATTGGGCAGAGGCGCTAGCTACAGCCACATATCTCCTCAACAGCGCCCCGCTCAGCCATTCACCATAGAGTTCCCTATGAGCAACTCTTCAAGCAGTCCCCAGACTACACTATTCTTCGAGTCTTCGGTTGCCTCTGCTATCCCAACCTCACCGCCACTTCCAAACACAAGCTGGCCCCTCGCTCCACAGCCTGTGTCTTTCTCGGATACCCCTCCTCTCACAAGGGTTATCGGTGTCTCGACCTCACAACTAGACGGATTATCATCTCCCGTCATGTTGTCTTCGACGAGACTCACTTTCCGTTCAGCACTGACCCCACCAGTGAGCCCCCAAGCTCTCTGGATTTTCTTCTTCCAGGTCCTGCCGCGCCGGTGCACCACACTGCCACCATGGTGCCCCCCAGTGGTCGCTCAAAATGCCACGCCCACCGAAAGCACCATGACGCCGAGCTCAACTGGAGGAGCTCGCTGAGGACCCCGCCATCCTATAGATTGGCCCGGTCCTTCCTCCTGGCACGGCTGCTCCTGCTCCGACCGGTCCACCTCTACGGGTCTACGTTTGGCGGCGTGCTGGTGCTCCCGCACCGGCTGCTGAGCCGGCTCCTGCACCACTGTCTGCACCAGTCGTGGAGGTGCCCCCGCCGGCGCCCGCTGCTCCAGAACAGCCGGCTCCTGCTCCAGTTGTGGCGGCCTCTCCGCCACCTCCTACCTCGAGCCGACACATGGCGCGCCTCCGAGCAGAGCTCGGCCAGCTTTGTTGATCGTTATGGCTTCCCATCGTCTGCTCACGTCACCACCGCCTCCACTGCCTCACCCATTCCCCGCGACTATAGAGGGGCCCTTACCGACCCCCAGTGGCGTGCGGCCATGGCTGAGGAGTACAAGGCTCTCATCGACAACGACACGTGGCGACTCGTTTCCTGGCCCCCAGGTGCCAACGTGGTGACAGGCAAGTGGATCTTTCGGCACAAGTTCCACTCCGATGGCACCCTGGCTTGTCACAAGGCTCGCTGGGTTGTTCGCGGCTTCACCCAGCACCATGGCATCGACTACGACGAGACGTTTAGCCCCGTCGTCAAGCCTGCCACCATTCGGTTCATCCTCAGCATCGCTGCTTCTCGTCAGTGGCCCATCCACCAGTTGGACGTGAAGAATGCCTTTCTTCACGGTCACCTGCACGAGACGGTCATCATCATCAGCGACCCCCGACTTCGACCGCCAGCCCCGACGCCGTCTGTCTTCTTCAGCGCTCCCTCTACGGCCTCAAGCAGGCCCCGCGGGCGTGGCACCAGCGCTTCGCCATGTACGTTCGACAGCTCGGCTTCGTCACTTCTGCCACCGACACCTCCCTCTTCGTCTACACTGAGGGCGGCGCCGGTGCCTACTTGCTGCTGTACGTCGACGACATCGTCCTCACGGCTTCCTCGGATGCTCTGCTCCGCCGCATCATCGGTCGCCTTCACTCTGAGTTCACCATGACGGACCTTGGGGAGCTCCATCATTTCCTGGGGATCTCCGTCACTCGCTCCTCCAACGGGCTCTTCCTCAGCCAAAGGCAGTACGTGGTGTATCTTCTTCAGAAGGCAGGCATGGCCGAATGTCACTCGACATCGACGCCTGTCGACTCTCGTGCCAAGCTCTCTGCCACGGAGGGCGCTCCCGTCGCCGACCACCGCCACGTCTGGTCTCGCCGGCTCACTTCATGCCAGCGCTCCACTCGCCCCGACACGGCGTATCTTTGTCAAAGGTGTGCCTCTTCATGCATGATCCGCGCGAGCTCACCTTGCTTGGCCGATCAAGCGCGATACTTCGGTATGTGAAGGGCACACTGTTGGCTGGCCTCCACATCGGTACTGGGCCTATAGACAAGTTGATTGCCTACTCCGACGCTGACTGGGCAGGGTGCCCCGACTCCCGCCGCTCCACTTCAGGCTTCTGCGTCTTCCTCGGCGACAGCTTGGTGTCCTGGTCGTCCAAACGGCAAACCACGGTGTCCCGGTCCAGTGCGGAGGCCGAGTACCGGGTTGTTGCTCATGTGGTCGCAGAGTGCTGTTGGCTTCGACAGCTTCGTCAGGAACTTCACGTTCCATTGAAGGTCGCCACAGTTGTCTACTGTGACAACGTCAGCGCTGTCTATATGATAGCCAACCCGGTCCACCACCGCCGTACCAAGCACATAGAGATCGACATCCATTTCGTCCGTGAGAAGGTGGCTCTCGGCGAGGTTCGCGTTCTCCATGTGCCGTCCAAATATCGATTCGATATCATGACAAAGGGTTGCCGATTCAGCTATTTGAGGATTTTCGGTCCGGTCAGGCACCCGTAATCCCGGCCGCTTCGGTGAGGCGGTGATAGATATGTACATTAGGAAAGTGTATATTAGGCAAGTCTATATTTAGTATGATTAGCCCCTGCCATGTATTGCATGTAACCTGCCATGTATTGACTATATATATCAAGGTCAACCCCCACGTTGGGTGTGTGGTGTTTTCCATTCAATCTCTGTTATTCTACAATCTCTTTTATTCTACAGTAACTGAATAGCTGAAGTGTCACATAATTCTGCTTATTCTTCATAAACCAATGTTCTGTTATTCATGTTGATCCAGAATTCCAGATAGCATGCTATTGACAAACTCCCTGGGCTGACAGATTGCTGCCAACGGCTTCGCCATAGGCATAGACAGGCCAACTCCTTCGGCCATGTCAGGAGCACCACATTCACCGACATCCCACTCGAAGCATTGGACGAGCGCTGCCAGTGTCAAGCTAACAAGACGCATTGCCAGCCCCTCCCCTGGGCAGCGCCTCCGTCCAAGCCCAAATGGCAGCAAGGGGGCGGTGACCGTGGTCACCATGCCAGCGTCCAAGAACCGCTCCGGCCTGAACTCTTCGGGCGCCTCCCATAATTTGGGGTCCCGATGGATCGCCCAAGCGTTCACAAGGATCATGGTGCCACGCCGGACATGGAACCCACCAACGGTGCAGTCCTCCATGGCCTCGTGCGCTGGGATCACTGGGCCGACAGGACAGAGCCGGAGGGTCTCCTTGACCACACATTGCAGATATGGGAGGTTCGCGATGTCAGACTCCTCCACCAGCCGGGATGTGCCGACATTGGTGTGCAATTCAGCTGTCACTTTCCGCATTGCTTCCGGATGCGTCAGCAGCAGCGCCATTGCCCACTCAGTGGTCAGTGCCGATGTGTCCGTGCCGGCACTGAGCAGTATCTGAATAGATGCATCATCACGGAGATTGCAACCATGTCATGAATTCACCATCGTGGTGCCACAAAGACTGATTCATAGGAGAGATTACTCACCAAGACAATGCCTTTGATGACAGTGTCAGTGTAGTACTCGGGATTAATTTCTTGCAGCGACAGGAGTTCGTCAATGGCGCCGTTCTTCTCCGTGTGCCGGCCACCGGCTCTGCGACTCTGGCGTTTGTCGCGCACGAGGCCCGCGACGAGCGCGTCGCGTCTCGCCTGGAGACGGATTAGAGTCGCATCGACGCCGCGGAGACGGTCGATCCACCGCAGCGCCGGGTAGAAGTCCCCGATGCTGGGGGCGCCGCTCACCGCGAAGGTCTCCTCGATGATCCCCTGGATCCTGCGCACGTCGTCGCCGTGCCCAGGCGCGCCGGTGAGCGAGCGCAGCATCACGTTGAGCACCAGCTCGAAGAGCCGGGGCCGGAGCGTCACCGCGGCGCTGGACGCGTCTGGTCCAGCGGCGGCGGCGTCACGGAGCAGCAGGCTCTCGACGAGAGCGGCGACCTCGGCGCGTCGGTCGGCGGCGCACGCGGCGAGGCGGGACGCCGAGAAAAGCTCCACGGCGAGGAAGCGGCGGACGGCGCGCCAGTGGTCGCCGTGGGACGCCCAGCTGACCACGGTGTACCCGTACCCGAGCCTCTCCCAGCCAGCAGCAGCCGCGCCCTGCCCGCCAGCGCGGCGTCGTGCGCCGTGAAGCACTCCTCGGCCGCCGCGTGCGACGACACCAGCAGCGCGCGCCGCGCTCCCAGGCGCAGGGACAGGAGCGGCGCGAGCTGGCCCCCGGTGCCGTGCGCGGCAGCGAGCGCGGCCAGCGAGCGGTGCAGCGGCTTGCCGAGCAGGTGGAGGTGGCCGAGCAGCGGGCGCGACGGCGGGCTCGGCGCGGCGCTATTGTCGTGCCCCCGGACACGCCTGTTCCAGACAGCGGCAGCGATGAGCAAGGTGATGGCGATGGCAATGGAGAGCAGGAGAGCGTCGCCGCTCGGCGACGCTTCCATGGCTGGCAAGACTCCCAGAGGGCGGCGCCGTAGCTGGGGCGGGGAGGGAGGAGGGCGTGGAAGAACGAGATGGGGAAGGAGATACGGCAAATCCTGAAGAGAAGATAACGAGTTGATGACCTTGGGAGTTGGGAGAGTTGTCATTCGTTAGTGTGCAAAATTACATCTGGTTCTTTTAGAACGAAAATTACCACTGTTGGAGTGCCGGTGAAGAAGATACGGCAAATCCTGAAGCCTGCCACTTGAGCAGTTGACCTCACCTATGGAGGGAGAGGTTGACGTGGCAACCATCCCAAGGATTGAGGTGACAACAGGAAAAAAAACAGTGGAGATTACTTCATGAGGCCAAATCCAACATATGATTTTTAAATCAAGGAAGTCCAATTTACCTCCTCGTTTGATTTTCCTCCCTTCCTACAAAACCAGTTTTTTTTTTTTTTCTCTTTTAACATTTACTAGCAAATATGCCCGCACGTTGCAACAGGAGTATTTTTTCTCGGGAGTCCAAGAACAGCCACGGGGCTTAGGGTTTATTTGGTTTATAACCACAACTTGCCACGTCATAAGTTAGTCACGCCATAGTTTTTATGTAATTGTGTGGTTCACTGTCATAACTATGATGTGTCACACTTTCTTAGCACTGTTTCCATATGTCATAGTCTTATTTTCTTGCCAAACTTTGCCGCAAGTGTGGCTTTTATTTTGCTCCCTATACTTTAATCATGTTTGGCTCGGCTTGTGCATGCCCACCGTGCAGTGCATATGTGTTGTGAGTCATGGTACAAAAAAAATAGGACTCTAATTCAAATCACATGGTCTGTGGCCTGGTGTGAGTCGTGGTACATTGACATGTTTGTAGAATCCACTTTTAAACGGTTTCAAACATGATATATCTGTGGCAACCAAAGTACGGCACCAACCATGTCTAAAAGTATCTTCATGTCAGGATCCTTTATTAAAATATAATGCAATTTAGTTATTGTAGTGTCCAATCAAGATGATCATCAAGCACTTCAAATTACTTTGACCTAATCATTTATAACATTTCATCTTGTACCGTTCCGCTGCTGAGGTGAAATAAAATAGGAAATCAAGTATTTATGTATCAACCTGTATTTCTCGAATCAATGCAACTCAAAGGAGAATCAAATACAAAACGTTTTGTTTTATGTCAAATAAAGCATATGGTGCCTCGGTGTGTGGTCTCTCTTCTATTATTGGAGACCTGGGTTCAAGTCTTGTGGCTTGAAGTTTTAGGCGTATTTTTCACAGGCTAGTTGTTTTTGTCGCTGGGACTCCCAAGTTCCAAGGAGCGGACGGCTAGAAGATGGAACACAGGTGAGCAACCATAAAAATACGGATGGAAACCGAACTAGAAAATGAATTCGAACCCGGACTAGAAAAGGAAGTCGGAGGAGGCAGAAAAATAGTACGGCAGAAATTTTGCCTCTTTATTATTAGGTACATATTTATTTATTTTTGCACTTTGGGTGGTTTTAATGGTGATTTTGCTGATGTGATGCCACATGGGAGGGGTTAAATCGGACTGAGCTAAAAGTGAATGTTCAGGAGGTAAATTAGACTAGAAATATAAATTTATCCAAATATTTTTACATGAAAAAAATAATGCAATTAAAAATCTTATAATATGGTTAATCTTAGAAGTTTCGTTTTACCTCGAAAAATTATGAAACTAGTTTCACAGTTTTTTTCTAAGTTCATGCTCTATCTTATGGCGCATAGATGGTCCATTTTGGTGCTTATTTGCTAGTAGAAGCTCTCGTTTTTCTATTATAATTAGTCAATGTTGATTGTCCAACTACGTAGAAGTGTCAATAGAGCATCAGAACTACTTATTTGGTCCTCTTTTCGAGATAAATTCCAAAGTAGTTTGTGTTAGCCTATCTGGTTGGATGCACCCTTGTCGCACATATGTAGTCCTGACCACGCTCCACTAGTGCTTACATAGTGCTGATGATGCTCCACTGGTGCTTCTACGTAGTCGGGCAATCCACACTGACTAATTATAATAGATAATGGGAGCTTCTACTAGCAAATAAGCACCAAAATAAGCCTATCGGGATTCAAAAATTTTCAATCTAGGCACCATAAGATAGAGCATGATTTCAAAGTTTTGAAGCTAGTTCCATAATTTTCAGAGGTAAACCAACTTTATTTTATGATTACACCATATTTTAGGATTTTAAGTGTGTTATTTTTTCATGTAAAAATATTTGGACAAATTTTTAAAAAGATGTATTTTTATGATTTTTGGATATTTTTTTAAAAAAAATTCCTTGTCCGATTTACCACTCCGAGCTTCTGCTTACTTTGATTTACCCCCTCTGATATGACGGCCCATCAACAAAACCACCGTCAAATCCACCCAAGGTGTAAAAACAAATGGTTTTGAAAGTTAAGGGAGATAAAAAAAACTGATTTTATCATTTAGGGAGAAAAATCATATCCACACGATAGCTGAGAAGATAAACTAGACTTTTTCCTATTCAAAATAGATCCCATGCAATATATAAGGCCTATATTTTAGCCCAACAAGGCCTGGCTTTTTTCTTCCTCCGATGCTGCCCAATGCATAGCTTGTAAGTCATGGATTTCTATTTACGTGTAAAATACCTCTTTCAACCTTTAACTTGCACTGTAGTTTGATTTTCTATACCTAGTAATAAAAATGCAAAATTACAGCCTATTTTTTCGTCGGGGCTGTAGTTTGATTTTCTATTTGAACCATTTCCATACATATCGGTTCACCTCAATGGCTTCAAGTCACTTTTAATAATGATTTGATTCTCAACTCAATATGACTCCTCATGTGCCTCCTTCACCTTATCAAGCCATACTCAAGTCACATCATATTAAGCATCCATTGAAAAATCATTTCTTCAATAGTATGATCCTTACTTAAATATCTTCTAGATATGAATGTTCAGATCAATCAAGCTTTAGTTTGATTCACATAAAGACATATATGAATCAACATCAATATGGTCAAACCAATTCATGATTCCTTATATCCTCTTCATTTTGGCTTGACACTCATAATACTCACTTCAATATCTATCTTCATACTTCTAGCTTGATCAAGTTAATGCAAAGTGATTTTCTAAATCTTTATCCATACAAGCAAACCAATGTAGAGAACATCTTATATCCATTATACATTGCCTCCTTTTTCGTCGGGGCTATAGTTTGATTTTCTATTTGAACCATTTCCATACATATCGGTTCACCTCAATGGCTTCAAGTCATTTTTAATAATGATTTGATCCTCAACTCAATATGACTCCTCATAACTTGATTACTTCCTCAACTCAATGCAAGTACTCTTTTCTTCACATTAGCCATGTTACCTCGGTCCTCATGCCATCGCTTGCCCTTTACCTTCGTTTAGTCCCTCGAAGCCCTTTCATTTCTATCTTCATCTTATCAAGCCATACTCAAGTTACATCATATTAAGCATCCATTGAAAAATCATTTCTTCAATAGTATGATCCTTACTTAAATATCTTCTAGATATGAATGTTCAGATCAATCAAGCTTTAGTTTGATTCACATAAAGGCATATATGAATCAACATCAATATGGTCAAGCCAATTCACGATTCCTTATATCCTCTTCATTTTGGCTTGACACTCATAATACTCACTTCAATATCTATCTTCATACTTCTAGCTTGATCAAGTTAATGCAAAGTGATTTTCTAAATCTTTATCCATACAAGCAAACCAATGTAGAGAACATCTTATATCCATTATACATTGCCTCCTTTGTCATTTCACCTTTACTTGACATTTTCTCACTTATGCACTCTTGATTCATTCTGCAATCCTTGATCAAAGCTAGTCCACTATCCAACTCTTCTTATTCATGCAAAGCAAGCCATATAGAGACCAATCCAAAATAATCAACTCATGTCCCATTTTCTATTTGCCAAATATACTTGCTTTCACATGATGCTATGATATCCCACAACATAAAAGCCATTTCATTGATTTCATTTGCATTGTTGTTAGGGATGAAAACGAACGGAAACAGGTGAAAAAACTCCTCTCCCATTTCCGTTTCTATATTTTTAGCGGAAACAGGATCGGGTTCGGGGAAAACAGAATTAAAAACGAATGGGGATATATGGAAATACGAAAACAGACAAATACGGACGGAGAGCCGGAAAAATAAGTTAGAATAACAAGATCAAATATTCTTGAGTATACATGAACAAAGTCACAAAATAATATACACGTACGAAATTATCGGTCCAGTATTCACTAGTATACCATGTGTTAACATGCATAATTTGTGATTAGTAGGTTTATGAACATATCAATTTCTAGACATATCTCACATAGATTGAAAACGGGATGAAAAAGGAATAAATACGGGTCAATTCTGGATAAAACGGGATCTCGCGAAGGGACGGAAAAACCCCTTTCCCGTTTCCGTAAATACGGAAACGAGATCCCACAAATACAAAAATGGACGGAAGAAAGTAGAAAACAGAACGGGTTAGAACAGGATTTTTTCGTCCGTTTTCAACCTTAATTGTTGTCTTATGCTTGAACTAGATTGTTTCCATAATCTTCTAGCATGACAATTCACAATTTGGCCTTCATTTCAACATTATGTGGAATATCATCAAGTTTGCCTTCTTGTTGAACCTACATATATTTCTCATTCCACAATCCACAAGTATATGCAATAGACTTAATTTCCTGTTCAACACTTAGCAAACTTGCTAGACCTTTAATGGTGTTGTCATTCAATTCACCAAAGCCCACTAAAGGGCTAGATGCAGTTACAATCTCTCCCTTTTTATTGATTGATGACAACACAATTAAAGCTTATAAGAGATTGATAAATAAAAATATTTTGAATCCTATGATATAGCGAACTCCCCTAAATGTTTGCATTGACAGAAATTCAAATTTTGGCATCAAATGCTAAATGCACATATTTAAGATGAAGTGTGGGAACTCTCCTATATC